CACTGCGTCGCGCATCTCGTTGAATGTCTCTTGGTCGAGCGCCATCTCGGAGACCGAACCGCTCGGCTCCCCTGTGGTTCTTCACGTAGTTCAAATACTGCCCGAACTCGTGCCAGTATCCCTTCAGTCGGCTGAACCGAATCAACTTCAGCACTGTCCGTTGCCATTCGTCCTCAACGCCCACTTGAGTCCAGCGTTCGTGGGTGTCCGTCGCGGAGCTCGTGGTCTCGAACTCCGTCGGCTCGATCTGTCGTGCCGCCAACGGCGGATCTCGCGCGCGCTGGCGCGCGGGTGTGGGAGTGGCGGGACTGGGAGCTGGAACTAGTCCAGCTCCCCCACCATCTTTCTATCTTTTGAACCACGATGGACTACAGACAGAGCTCTGAATCACCTCTGGTCTTTCTCTATTCTTAAACTCACCCTCTAGATCATATCCGAAACTCACTTAAGTTCCAGGCAACCTCCGAAACAGGGCGCTGGCCCTAGATATCCGAACAACAAACCTACATATATACCTATACGACCACCCTTCGGGTGATAAGGAGGTTCGGGGGGGAGGAACCAACGTCTCACTCGATCGGTCTCACTATCGATCTCACTATCGATCTCAGTGTCGGTCTCGCTCGATCGATCTCCCTCGATCGATCTCACACTCGATCCTAGTCGATCTCACTCGATCTATCGCACACTCGATCTCACTCGATCATCATCATCACCACCATCATCATCATCGTCCTCATCATCATCAGCATCATCATCATCAACATCACCATCATCATCATCAGCATCAACATGTGCATCATCATCATCAGCAGCATCATCATCAGCATCACCATCATCATCATCATCATCATCATCATCGTCATCATCCCATCATCATCATCATCATCATCATCATCATCATCATCATCATCATCATCATCATCATCATCATCATCGCGGGACACCGCGGGACACCGCGGGACACCGGCGGGACACCGCGGGGCACCGCGGGACAGCGCGGGACACCGCGGGACACCGGCGGGACACCGCGGGCCACCGGCCGCCCGGAAGGGAGACACTTGGTCCGGCCGCGCCTCAGCCACACGGGACACCAGCGGGACACCGGCGGGACACCGCGGGCCACTGGCCGCCCGAAGGGAGACATTTGGTCCGGCCGCGCCTCAGCCACAGGAGACTTTCTTCTCGCCCGCCCACGCAGCTTCGCCTCGCCCGCACGCACGGCACGCACGAACACGAAACCGAAATCGATTTCCCGGTAGGGGGGCTCTCCGTTCCACTTCGATCTCACCCCCTCACCTCCGAACTATCAGTATCTATATATGTGTGTATATATATATATGTACGCATGCATGCGTGCATGCATGCATGTGCTTATGTGTATATGTGCATACGTTTACACGACACACATATAAGTATACACATACGCGTGCACATACACATGTAACTATACATACAGAAAGAGAGGGTGAGAGATCGTGCGCTTCGCGCTCGCTCACAGTCGAGCGCGGGGCAGGAGTTGCTGGAAGTATATTTGGACAGCGCTATCATGCACAAGCGCGCGCCATGGTCGCATCCATTTTCATCGTCCTCATCATCATTCTTGTCTTCGCCATCCTCATCCTCTCCCCTTTATGATATTTATCACGTCAATCAGATATACAATAACCTCAATCACAGTCATCACCATCATCAACATCATCGTCGTCATGGGGGGCATCCTTGGGTAAGTGCTGCTAGCCATGTTGTCGCGTCACAATGGCGTGTCCTCGTCGTCCCCGCAATCATCATCAACATCACAGTTACCCACCCCCGTCGTCATCATTAAAGCCACTACGCTAATCGTGCACGTCGTCACCGTCATCGGTCTCCCCGTCATCCTCCCCGTCATCACAATAGTGAGCATCAACATCGTCGTCGTCGTCGGCCAGCTGTTCCCGGATAAGCCTCCAGGAACATCCCGTCTCTGCGGCTGTCGGGAAAGCCTCTCGAGTCTTAGAGAGCCCCCCAAGAAAGAGGTTTAAACTGTCATTGGGCTCTTTTGCGCCCTTGAAGCGCATGGTTGATGGAACGCTTGGGGCCGTTATAGGGCATCTTGGGCGCTTCTAGGCTGGCTGAGTGCGCCTTTTTGAAATCAGATTGGGACTGGATTGGGTCCAACCTGGGCTGTCGTGGGGCCCTGTTGGGACCCGCATCGAGCAATCGAGGAGGAATGAACAAGGGGGGCCAAAACCGAAACGCAGCTCCCCCCCCCACGAACGCAGAGCGCCCGATGCGGCCGTCTCCCACCGGCAATGCGCCCGCCCCGTGCGTCCCCCCACAACCCGTCCAATCGATGCTTGCCGTTTCGCAGCGTTCGTCGAACCTGCTGCTGGGGGTGGGGAAGACGAACAGGAGCCTCTAAACGCTCTGCGACCGTGCCCCACTCAGCACCCCCGCCTCACCTGGCGTCGGTTCCCAGGCTCGGAGGGGCTGCCCAAGGGGAAAGCACGACCCCCCGGGGTCACCAGGCAACGCTCCCTGTGGGTTCCTGGTGCCCTAAGCCCATTGAAGAAAAAAGAAGACGGGGCACCCGGCGCAACCCCAACATGAGGGGACTGAATGTACGCTCGCATTGCATTATCATCATGATGCCATGCTCGACGGTGAAGTTGTCCTGGGCCTTCTATCCTCCTTTGTCCTCCTCCCTCCTTGCCTTTTTGACTCGGTCTTCCCACTCTCCTCGTCCGACGGGCAGCGCGGCAACCAGCACGGTACTCGGCACGGCACGCTGCACAGCCCACGGCACGGCACCAGGCACATCACCAAGCAAGTTGCTTGACGGAAGCAACGTCAATGTGGATTCTCGGTGCCCCTCCTACGGATGATCCTCGGCACCCCCAGCCTGTTGCTAATTCGCGGTGCCCTTCCTGGTGTGAGGGCTTCCTTCCCCCTCCTCCTCGTTTCTGGCATGCTTTCTTCTACGGATAATCCTCGTGATCACCGTTCAAGTGTCCTGAGTCTGATCCGCCTCCCTCTCTGACTCCGCATTGTCCTCCTCCCTCCTCCTCCTCCTCCTCCTCCTCCTCCTCCTCCTTCTCCTCCTCCTCTTCCTCCTCCCTCCTCTCTCCTCCTTCTCCTCGTCGACAGTGACATGATCCTGGGCCTCCCCCCTCTTTCCCCTTCCGACCGCCCGCGGCCACTGCCTCCCTCCTCCACTTGTCTTCATTCAAATCGCCCTCATCCATCCGCCGTCCTGCCCCTCGCGTCTGACGGGTGATGCTCGGCATCCCCGTCCCCGCACAGATTCCTCCTCCCCTTCCTAATGCAAATCCTCTCCCTCCTCCTTCTCCTCTTCTCCTCCTCCTCACCCTCCGTCTCCTCCGCCTCGAAGAAGGGGCAGGCGGCGGAAGCCAGACAGCGCCACGTGGTGCCTTCGGCCCATCCCGCCACCGTGTCTGGGTTGTGGGTTAGAAGCTTCTCGGATGTTCGCTGGGATGATATCGTGGGATGCCTCTCGGGGGGCCTGTTGGAAGCAGGTTTGAAGCCTCCACGGGGGCGTTGTGGAGCTTGTCGGACCTCTCTTAGGCATCGTTGGGGCCTCTTTGGAGCCTCTTACAGCCACTTGGGGGCCTCTTGGGGCCTCCTGGGGGCCTGTGGGGGCGGGAAGCTCGAAAAGTCGGTTCGCGTTCCCTCTCTTGGGCCCATCTTGGAGCCGTCTTCAGGCCCTCTTCAGGCCCTCTTGGGCCGTCTTGGAGGCCTCTTGGGCCGATCATGCGGCCCTCTTGGGCCGTCTTGGGGGACTCTTAGGGGGCCTCTTGGGGCGACGTTGGAGGCTTCTTGGGCAGTCTTGGAGTGTCGGCCGCTCGAAAACGTCAGAAAGCAAACCATTTGGGAAAACACAATTAAAATCAATGAATTTGGCGTCGTGGGGCTCGTTTGGAGGTCCTTGCGGAGCGACCTTGGGGCCTCTTGGGGGCCTCTTGGGCCGATCATGGGCCATCTTGGGCGGCTTGGAGCGCTCTTGAGCCGTCTTGGCGGCTTCTTGCCGTCCCCAAAAACCTAGGTGGACGCCTCAGGGAAGCGGAAGAAGTCGCCCCCCCCCCCCAGGGGCGACGGGCGCACCGAGAAATCTTATAGCATTTGCGTCGTGGCCGGCGTTTTCTGGCCACACCGCTCGGGAAATGATATGCTACAAGATGGGTATACTATATGTTCGGGTCGGACGCGCGCCTCCAAGGAAAACATACTAGTACAGTGGAGGTCAGTCCACAAGAAACCTTCCACAAGAAACCCAACCCTGAGACCCCAGGACGTCCAGTGATTTTTGGTGTGGGAACGTCACGCTCTCCATCGCAAAACCATCGAAACCCAAGAAACGCAGGGAACCCTGGAGGCAAGCAGGTTGTTTCTTGGCATGGGCCTCCACTGTATGTCTTCGTGCGTCCCGCCAAGGGGGCGCGGAGTGGGCGGGACGGGGCGGGGAGCAACAAAAACACCGAGGCCGCTGCCCTGAGCAGGAGATCTCGGGGGGAAATCCAGACGTGGCGGTACGGGGGCTTCCGGGGAAGGTGGCATCGGTGCAGCTTTTTCCTCCGAGGAGCAGGGTGGGGCCAGGGTGGGGCGGGGTGGTGGTGGTGGTGGTGGTGGTGGTGGTGGTGGTGGTGGTGGTGGTGGTGGTGGTGGTGGTGGTGGTGGTGGTGGTGGTGGTGGTGGTGGTGGTGGTGGTGGTGGTGGCGGTGGTGGTGGCGGTGGCGGTGGTGGTGGTGGTGGTCGTGGCCGTCGTGGTCTTGGTCGTCGTGGTCGTCGTGGTCGTCGTCGTCGTCGTCGTCGTCGTCGTCGTCGTCGTCGTCGTCGTGGTGGTCGTGGTCGTGGTCGTGGTCGTGGTCGTGGTCGTGGTCGTGGTCGTGGTCGTGGTCGTGGTCGTGGTCGTGGTCGTCGTCGGGCTGGTGCGGAGAAGAGCGGAGGTACACGAGTCGCACGGAGTGGAACGGCGCGCGCGGCCGGGGTCGCGGGGCGGCCTGTTCTCCCGTTTGCTGCTGCTGGCGACGGGCGCGGGTGCCGCAGGCGCCGCGCTCGCCTGGCCAGCCTTGGTGTCCTCGGGCGCGGCGGCCTGGTACTTGACCAGGTCCTGGGGGATGGAGGGCGGGAGGAGGAGGAGGAGGAGGAGGAGGAGGAGGAGGAGGAGGCCCAAGAGAGCCCCAAAACGACCCCAAGAGCGCCTAAGAGTGTCCGAAGAGCGCTCCAAAAGGGACCCTTCATCTGCGCGCTGCCCACTTCCCTGATCGAGGCAAATCATCTGGGCATCGTCTCTGGATGGGCTGGTTGGGTTACTTTTTTGGTCGCGGCCGCGCAGCAGAGGGCAGGCGGCGAAAGGGGGTCCGGGGCACGGGCCAGCCTAATTAGCTACTAAGCGCCACGCGAGCCAGCCGGGCCAGCACTCAGAAGCGGCAGCAGAAAACTCTCTGCTGGTTGGGTTACTTTTTTTGGTTAGCGGCTCCGTGGCGGCGGACACGGAGCGGAAGGCGTCGACTGGCTGGGCCGGCAGGCGAGGCTAATTACTACAACAGGCAACACACCTGCAGTAAAAACATGCAATGAATGCAAGTGCACGTGCAAAAAGCAAAATGCCCCTCATTCGGCAGCGGAGAGTCGCCCTGTCGGCGCCAGTCCGCGCGGCCGACCTATCCCGGGCAGGTAGTACCGGGTACCACAGCCGTACCGATGTCGGCTAAGACAGGGGCAGAAGAGGCAGGAACCTACAGAATGCTCACTCCACGATCCACACCGTTGCCCATGGTGGGGCCGGCCAGCCAGCGAATCCGAAACCACTCACGAGTCTGAACCACAATGATAGGACACGCCTGCCCAAGCGTCAGTACTGCTGCCATCGGGTAACAGGCGAGGGCTGCGGAGGTACGCTGCAGCCGCAACCAGCTTAAAGGCGTAGGGGTGTAGCCAAGCCTGGGCCTGCCAGCTGGTTGGGTTACGCGGAGCGTCTAGAATTTGGCATTCGCTGCGTCTCGGCCTTCCGACGGCCCAAGACGGCCCAAGAGACCACCAAATTGCCAGAAAAGCCTCCAAGATGACCCCTTGACGCCCCAAGAAGCCTCCAAAACTGTCCTCAAAACGGCCCCAGACGCCTCCAAGACGCCCAATATGGCCTCAACGCCCCAAAAGGGCCCCAAATCGGTTCGGAGAGGCATACAAACCGGCTTCCGACAGCGCCAGACGGGCCAGGAACGCCCTAAGATGGCCCAAGAGGCCCCCAGGAAGCCCTCAATCGCCCCCAAGCAGCCCAAGGAGGCTTCCAAAACGCATCCGAAAGGCATCCAAAAGGCCCGCAGGAAGCTCCCAGGCGGTTGCGGCTGGCGGGCAACACCCACAGGCCACCGACACACCGCCCGAGAGCCCGCGCGTGGCGACGTCATCAGCGACGGAGCTGGGACCAGCTCGCGCGTGTGGAAAGGCCGAGCAGTGGCAGTCACCCATGGCGTTGATCACTGACAAGAGGCAGGAGCAGCAAGGACTCCTCAGCCAGATCGCTGGGAGCGGTCCGTGCGAGAGACCAGGCGAGCATGGGCCAGCCAAGATCGGCAACGTCATCAACTACATTGCTGGGAACGGCTCGTGCGGCGAGCAGGGACGAGCCAAGATCGGCAGTGGTAGACACAGTGCTGGGAACGGTTCGTGCGAGCCAGAAGGAACGCAGCGGCAGCCCGCGTGGGCGCTGCGGGAAGCCGAAGGACGGGCCCGATGACATCAGCTACAAGGCACGTCGACGGAGCAGGGAGAGCCAGAAGGTCGAGCCCGATGTCGTCAGCTACAGCCGACGCGATGGACGGAGGCCGCTGGCGATGAAGGACGAGCCCGACGCCATCAGCTACGGCGCTGGGATCAGGCCAAGACAAGCTGGAGCCAGGCCATACGCTGGAGCCAGAATTGAAGGACAAGCCCGACGTCATCAGCTACTGCGCTGGGATCAGGGCAAGAAGCGGTGGTCACCTCACTGCGAAAAGCGGGAGGCGAAGTTGGAGCCCGACGCGAGAACGCCAATCGAAGGTCGAGCCCGACGCCGTCAGCTACAGCCGACGAGCTGCGTGACGCGGCAAGTCGAAGGTCGAGCCCGACGCCATCAGCTGCATCCGACGAGATGTGGGAAGCTGGATGCGAAGATGGAGCCCAAGAGGAATGTAGCAAAGCCTTCAGCCACTACTATGCGAGAAGTCGGAGGCGAAGCTGGAGCCCAACTCTAACTTCGACACCCTGCTGCGAGGAGCGGGAAGCGACAATAGAGCCCGATGTCGCTACTCCGGGGATGGGGAAGGTGAAGATGGAACCCGATGTCCGCACACGTCAACCCCTAGCGCTACTCTGCGAGAAGCGAGGGGCACGCCTCATCAGCGCCAATGTTGTTGGGGCCAGCTCGTGCGAGAAGGCACTCATAGGATACAACGCTGGGATCCGCTTGCGCGCGACATGGCAGTGGGTGCAAGGCTTGTGTGGCAGGCCGAGGGAACAGCTGGGGGCCCACGTCGTCAGCTATCAGTCGAGAAGGGCTCAGGTTCGCACCCGCCTCACGAAGGGCTTTTAAAGCCGAACTGTGTCGCCTAGGAACGGCCTGGGGTAGGGGAGGCTTGTTGTCGTCGGCTGCGCTCTCTTGCTCATTGTGTAGCAGATCAGACTAGCAGCAACATAATCCTCGTAGCAGAATCCTCCTCCTGCTCAGCCTCCTCCTCCTCCTCCTCCTCATCCGCCTCCTCCTCCTCCTTCTCCTCCTCCATCTCCTCCTGCTCTTCCTCCTCCTCCTGCTCCTCCTCCTTCTCCTCCTCCTCCTCCTCCTCCGGCTCCTCCTCCTCCTCCTCCTCCTCCTCCTCCTCCTCCTCTTCCTCATCCTCCTCTCTATTTTGCCTCCCTCTCGTCCGCTTCTTCTTTCTCCCCCGCGTGTTCCCCGAAGGGTTCCCACAACGGCTGGGGGACACATGGTCCGATAGCTTGGCAGAGCTCTGGCTGGCCAAGGCGTTTGGCCTCATGGGCGATTCCAACAGGCAGGGGGCGGCGGTGGTTCGCCGCCGTCGTCTTCGATCAGCATCAACGTCATCAGCATCATCATCATCATCATCAGCATCATCATCATCATCATCATCAGCATCAGCATCAGCATCAGCATCATCAGCATCATCATCATCATCAGCATCATCATCATCATCATCATCATCATCATCATCATCATCAACATCAACATCAACATCAACATCAACATCATCATCATCATCATCATCATCATCAACGTCATCATCCTCCTCCTCCTCCTCATCATCATCATCATCATACTCATCACGATCACCATCATCAGCATCATCACCAGTATCAGCATCACTATCAGCATTATCATTACCATAACCATCACTATCATCATCATCAACATTACATCATTAAGATCATCATCATCACCATCACCATCGTCATCATCATCATCAGCAGCAGCATAACCATCACCATTACCATCATCAGCAGCATCGTCATCATCGTCATCATCATCATCATCACCATCATCATCATCATCATCATCATCATCGCAATCATCACCAGCATCATCATCATCATCATCATCATCATCATCATCATCATCATCATCATCATCATCATCATCATCATCATTATCGTCGTCGTCTTCATCAGCATCAGCAGCACCAGCAGCATTATCAGCAGCATCACCATCATCATCACCACCATCACGCGTATCAGCATCAGCATCATCACCAGCATCATCATCAGTATCATCATGAGCAGCAGCATATGCATCAGCATCAGCATCACCATCAGCAGCAGCATCAGCATCAGCATCATCATGATCTGGATCATCATCATCATCATCCTCATCATCATCCTCATCATCATCATCATCATCATCATCATCATCATCATCACCACCAGCAGCAGCAGCACCAGCAGCAGCCGCCGCCGCCGTCGCCGCCTCCTCCTCCTGCTCCTCCTCCTCCTCATCATCATCATCATCCTCCCACGCAAACCGAGTTCAGCACAGCAGGCCTCGCCCTGTCCGCGGGGCAAAAACCTTCTCCTTCTCAATCCCCCTCCTGCCTCTCCTTCCACTCCCTCATCCCTGCACCTCCCGGCTCAGAATCCTCCGTGAGCACGATGACCTCCGTGAGGTCATTCTTCAGCTTCACCAGGGAAGGCTCGTCCGGCTGCTGCTCGAGGGCCTGGAGAGCATGGGCGCGCGCGGCGCCGAGGTGCCCGGACGATCTTCTGGCGGCCCCCTCCTCCAGGACGGACGGGAGGGAAGGGGAGGGAGTGTGAAGGGAGGATGGAGGAGGGAGGAGGAGGGGAAAGATGGAGAAGGAGGGGGACAGCATGAAGGGATGTGGGAGGAGCACGAGCAGGACCAGCACGCAGACTGAATCATGAGTTCGATTGTCTCTGCCCGCCCTGCTAGGCGGGGCCCCCCCTTCGCTCGCTGACGGCTTGCGCCAGGGGCGGTGGGAGACGCAAAATGAACGGCGAGCCTGCACTTCCCTTGGGGTGTCTTCCCTCCGCGGCTCTCTATGACTGGAGGACCCTACCACTGGCACGCCCTCGGGCAGTCCATCTGGAAAACTCGGGAATCAGACTCGCTGAAGAAGCCACACCGGCGGCAAATCAAAATGCGCGGGGGCAGATTCGCGTCTAGACGTCCGAAATAGTGCAGACGTCGTGTGATCGCAGACCGGCGATCAGTGTCCTGGGCCAAACTCTCTGCACCTGCTGGCGAGGAACTCTCTCGCTTCCACGTCTGACTCTGCACGCCGCACAGTGCCGCACAGACGCACCTGCTCCACAGCGCGTGTCCCCGGTGGGCCCGTCCGGGTTCCCGGGCCTCGGGAGCGCAGGGGCCCGGAGGAGGCGGAGCACAAGGCCCAGACCTCAGGAGGGCCCAGCCGCCGCCACCCCTGTGGGCGGACCGCACGCTGCTCGCAGGCCCACGGTGGCACGAGCGCTCGAAGACGCAAGCGCGCCCGTCGTGGGCGGGCACGACTCAGCCTGGGTTGCGCGTAAGTCGTGCGCGCGGCAGAGCGACACGACCGCGGCCTCGTTGCGCAGGCGAGGGTCATCGCGCCGTCGGGGCCACCGTGGGTCAAAACGGCAGGGCTGCACAGGCAGACCTCAAACAACTACTCAACAGCTTACTGCCTGTTTCTCTGCGGCTTCTGCCTCGTGCTGACCAGGCTGGGGGGCCCTGGCCGCAGCTACCTTCGCCATTCGATCCGCAGCGCCATTGCATTTGGCATGCCGCCACTGGTCCGAGCCAGGGGTCAGAGCAGCGGCATCTACATGGGCCGTGGCTTTGCGGAGACTGGGGCCCGGTGGGGGCCAGCGCGGCCCCTCCGAGCACGCGTAAGCATGCGTCGTAAGCATGCGAGCGGGAAGACCGAAACATCTCGTGCACATCAACGACGCCCTGACAATCTACATAGATTTCGGCCGTCGGGCACGCATAGAGTCCTGCAGCGAGCACCGCGCGGTGCTCTGCAGCAGGGGAGGTCGACGGCGAAAGGCTGCCAACCCTCCCAATCATGTAGGCGTACAAATATCCGTGCACATCGATGGCCGCAGCAGTCCATCCAGCCAGGCTACATAGTCGGCGCCCCCCAGGTTTAATGCACGAGACGTCAGTGCAAAATTCCACCGCAAGCCTTTGCTGTGGCGACGGGTCGGGGCCCCGACTCCAAACTCCGCACTTTCGAAGCCGAGTCCAGCAGGAGGTCCCGTGTCAAAGTCTGGCAACCACTATAAAACCATGGCGCAAAATTGGTATATCAAATTCGCTGCGCGCTGCAACTCACTCTCGGTGAAGGCTTCCATGACTGCAGCGGTCTTGAAACATTCTGAAAAGCCGGTGCCTTAAATTGTCGTGCTGGTGGCCAAATTCTCACTCTGATTCATCCGGATATCCTGCAGCGATCAGCCTGGGTTGCGCCCGCGTGCACTGCGTGAGAAGACAAATGAAAGTCGATCTGGCCTTTCTTAGGAGGCAACTGCTGGGAGGTTTTCGTCGGAAAGATTGAGGAGGATCAAGCCCCATTTGGGAGCTATTACGCCGGAGTGGGCCTCGGATTAAGCGGAATTTAACGGGATTAAGCGGGATTAAGCCCGATGAAGCGGGATTAAGTGGGATTAAGCCGGATTAAGCCGGATTTCGGACCAGGGCAAGATCAGAATTTGACCTCCCAGGAGTTGCATCCGAACCTTTCTGTCCAAATCATCTCCTTGTATGAGCCCACGGACAGAGCAGACATCAAGGACCTCCAGGGGGTATCCAAGCTTTGCTGCGGCTCGTTCGTATGTCGCCTGTCCCAGGCCCCACATATCAAACTCGCGATGCTGCTTACAACTTCCTCCAACATTTTCAAAGCGACATCGACCTCCAGCAACCCCGCCCTGACATCTGAGACGACGGCGCTGAGAGACTGCGACGTGCTGCTGAGGCTGGCAAGGAGGGCCTCGGACTCCTGAAACTCCGGCGGGGGTTCGCTGAGGCAATCGAGGTACTCTGGAAAGTGTCGGCGTCCAGCTCCTGGACCTGAAAGAAAAACAGCCGCGCGACATTCCTCGGCTGGCGCGCTGTGCCCGCGCGCGACTTCCATGAGACTCGGCGCTTCATGACTGCCCGACAAAACCGCTGCACGCGCGAACCTCAGAAGACGCGCCCCTCGGCCTGGGTTTCAAAACTGCCCGCGCCAAATCAGCGACGGTGCTTTCCGAGCCCCTGGCCAAGAGCTGGCGAAGCTGATCCGCAACTCTCTGAGTCTGCTTGGGGCCCAGCTCGGGGATCTTCTGACCCCGGTCAATCCAGACCCGGGTCAGCAGGAAACCAAAAACTGCAATGCAGGAAAATTAGCCTGGCGAAAGACCCAACCATAAGCAAGTGTTAATACCGCAATTGTGGGCAGCATCTTCGGTGGAGCTCCCGCAATGGGGCCACGTGGACGTGTGAGGGGTGCGCCTATGACCCTGGGCTTCACGAACCGTGTGAGGGGTGCGGCCAATATGGGGCGGGGCCGCCATGCCGGACCCTGCCACTGGGGCCTTCGGTGGAGCTCCCTATGGGGCCACGAACCGTGTGAGGGGTGCGCTAAAATGCGGGGCCGCCATGCGGACCCTGCCACTGGGGCCTTCGGTGGAGCTCCCTATGGGGCCACGAACCGTGTGAGGGGTGCGCCAAAATGCGGGGCCGCCATGCGGCCCTGCCACTGGGGCCTTCGGTGGAGCTCCCTATGGGGCCACGAACCGTGTGAGGGGTGCGCCCCAATGCGGGGCCGCCATGCGGACCCTGCCACTGGGGCCTTCGGTGGAGCTCCCTATGGGGCCACGAACCGTGTGAGGGCGGGCCAAAATGCGGGGCCGCCATGCGGACCCTGCCACTGGGGCCTTCGGTGGAGCTCCCTATGGGGCCACGAACCGTGTGAGGGGTGCGCCAAAATGCGGGGCCGCCATGCGGACCCTGCACTGGGGCCTTCGGTGGAGCTCCCTATGGGGCCACGAACCGTGTGAGGGGTGCGCCAAAATGCGGGGCCGCCATGCGGACCCTGCCACTGGGGCCTTCGGTGGAGCTCCCTATGGGGCCACGAACCGTGTGAGGGGTGCGCCAAAATGCGGGGCCGCCATGCGGACCCTGCCACTGGGGCCTTCGCTGGAGCTCCCTATGAGGCCACGGAACGCGTGAGGGATGTGCCGAAACAGAGACATGCGGAGGGCAGAGGCAAGGGGGAGGGAGGAGGGAGGGGGCAGCGGGAGGAAGGAGGAGGAACGCGGGGCACCGTCTCTTCAAAACGAGGACCCAACACCACAGGATGGTTGGGAGAAAAAGAAAACTGCAACGCAGGTCTTCGCAGACCCGGGTCAGCCAATGTGCGTGGCCGCCTCGCGGCCACGAGCGGCTCGCGAACCCGGGCCAGCCAAAGGGGGTCTTCGCAGGATCCTGCAGGATCCTGTGCCCTGGCTGACTCCCGTTTGCACCGAGCCCGTCTCTTCTTGAGCCCCGATGCCAGCTGGGCGGCGCCGGCGGCCGGCGGCGCCGCGGCCGCGTCGAAAGCGGCCCCCGTGGAGCTCCACCCGCCGCCGGGCGCCTCGGGGCCGAAGGCGGGCCCCGGTCGGCGGGCGGCGCGGCGCGCGCCAGGCGGGCAGAGCAGAAGCGTCGCCCCACGGGGATGCGAGCGGCAACGGGCCGACGACGGGAGGAGGGGGGCATCTTCTGCTGGCCATCGCTCGGGCGTCCATTCCCTGTGCTTTGTGTTCGGTTTCGTGCGTGGCTGTCTCGCCAAGTGATCACGGGCGCTCCTCGATGGTCCTCGCCGAACGAAAAATGCAGACGTCCGAGCGATACCAAGTCCATGAACCCGAGGATATCCCAAGACCCGCCCCTGGAGCGCGGATGTCTCCGATCCCAGGCAATTCAAACACGACTCCTGCCATCCGTCCCCGAAGCATCAAATCCAAAGCTTCCGCGGGGAAAAACACCTGACGCATTCCCAAATCCAGACCGCCCCCTGCCGAAGTAGCCTGAGTCGAACTGAATGCGCCGTTCTGTAATGCTGTTGTCCAGACTCTACGTTCGCACCACTGGCCAGCCTGCGCCATGCTGGCCTCGGTGCAGAACTTAACCGCGCGCAGATGGTGCGATCATGCTCGCCGAGGGGCACCTCGGTCAGCTGCCACCTTCCAGCAACTGCCGTTGACCGTGAGTGTGCTGTTCACCCACATTGTGCACCTGCCGCGTCGACCTCGGCCTTGCTGCTGACGATGGCCTCGCGAGCAGACTTGAGCCTCTGGGCCGCATCATCCGCGACCGAGCCTGCCTCCATGAGCGGGCGCGAGACCCTCTCGAGATCCTCCACCGCCCTCTTCCACGCCTGCGCCGTCTGCTCGCCCCCGTCGTCGCCCAAATCTCCTGCAGGGATGTCGAGCCCTCCGGGGCTGCAGGCAGCTACCGCCTGACCTCCAGCTGCCGTCTCCACTTCACCTCCTGGCGCAGGTGCCACTGGTGCTTTCACTCCCGTGGG